AATTAAGCAGCACATATATTATATCACAAAAAATAATATTTTGTTACTACTTTAAAAAATAATAGTAATGGTATTGATTATATAACCATAGATATAAAACTTTATGAAAATTTTATTTTGTAATATATTACATCACACAGCAATGCAGCATTTTACAAATAATTTCTTCTCGTTGTATAACTATGTCTGAAATTTAGTACATGGAAAATAGACCACAATTCAAGGTACGTCGGAGACAGTGGTAAATTTGGCCGGAAGGACAATTTAATGTTACCTACTGCAGTTTCTTCTTACGTAACTATAAAACACGGTACTGGTTTTAGAAGTAGAAATTCGATTTTTTGTAAAACTACTAAATTGAACGCGATGAAATCCGTATAAGTGTTTTCAATTGTTGTACAGTTTCAGTTATTTAAACTGAATTCAGAATCATTCCTATATTACAGTTATCAGTAATATAGGAATGATTCTGAATTCAGTTTAAATAACGGTAAACTTTTACGATATTAATCCATAGGCATATATGTAAGTACATTTTTATTCCATAATTTATTTCAAAAATATTTTTGTTTTGTTTACTAAATATTTTTACTCGAACGCAACGTTAATCAAAAGAAAGTTATTATTTTAGCCTGGTAAGTATGTACTAATGTATGCATTTCCATGTCTAAGGCCGCCCGTGACTGTGTTGAATTTTGAATATCTCATTTGATTTGTCATAAATGCACGGATAACATATGTAATATGCTGTTATTATAAACAAATAGCTGTGGAAATAAACTGTTAAAATTTGCGACCTGCATAATATATGCCTCACGCATATTTTAAGTATCTTCTAGTAAAATAAGTAAGTGTGAAAACGAGAAAGGTTACCAACTGGCTAGCGGCCAAGCGTGTCAACTGTCGCAAACATCTCTAGACAATCTATGGGGGAGGTCTACATTCAGCAATGTACTTATAATAGTGATATGATAGTCATTGTTAGATATGATATATCTAACAGCAGCTTGCTTGCCTGGCAGACGTTGTACTGCCCTTTTCGAGGACACTTTTTATGCCCTTTTAAAATTCTTATTTTCGCAAAAAAAAATTGTGAGTCACTCATGGGCAAAAAAGCCATCCTATCTCTCAAGTTAGGCCAAACTGCATACGGTGTGCAAATTTGATTAAAATCGGTTTAGTTGTTTAGGAGTCCATCGCGGACAAACAACGTGACACGTAATTTATATATATTAAGATTTATATATATTTATCTATATCCGATGTGCCCCAAACCGGTATTAATAATGCGAAGACCGTTTTGGACCACCAAAACAATGCATTAACTATATAAATAATATCCATAAACAGAAATAAAAAATAAAAAAATATAAAATCAATGAACAGAATTTCCTTTTTTCTAACAAATAAATAAAATGTATTTTTTTTAGCGTAGTAGCACATGCTCATAAATTATATCACTGCAATCGGGTCATTTGTTTTTCAATAAAAGTTTGTAAATGAAGTACAGAATAATAGAAATGAAAACTAATTTCTCTGTATTTAGATTGAAACAGAAGTTAATATTTGCCCAGGATCACGGTATAATTAAAACAGCCCGCACAAATAGATTAGATAAATCTTATACAAAATATTTGAATTTCAATTTTTGAAAATGGAAATGCTTTAGTGAATTTTGTAACATAATTCATTCACAGCAGGTGATAGTGGCATAGCATGGGATGCCGCTGCTTGGGGCCGGTAGAACCTAACCGCCCCCATCCGTTTTCGAAGTAGGTATCTTTAAAAATTAAATTAGGCTAAAGTCTTCTATAGTATTTAGAAAAAAAAATAAGAATAATTTAATACAAATTTATGTATGTTTTCATACTTTTCCCTAGCCTACGCAAGAGCGTGTGAGCAGACCTCTATATTATCACTAGTTTATATTTTATTTTTAAAGAACAGTAGAGACAAACGAGCACACAGTCTACCTAATGGTAAGTGGATGCCGTGGCCCATACACATCTACATTTATCCTCGCTTAAGAATCAAAACGCAGATGCGTTGTCACACCTGAGGACTAAAATGGAATGCGTCGTTTCCAGTAAAAATGGTCTCCGGATCTCTACACTCACCATACGAAACACAGCAGTATTAACCTGCTATTGTACGCTGGTATTCTGCGAGAGCGTTGTCCTTCCCCGGTCGAGCCAACCCATTCGTGCTACAACCATAATATATCTGCAGCGTGGCTCTACCACGTATTAAAACTACTAGGATAATATTAACAAAAATATCCAATAAAAGTTAATTTTCGTCGTTCATAAGTCTTTCCATACGATTATAATGTGGATGTCTTCAAGGCAAGAGTGAATACCATCTTCGGCTGCTTTACCACTTATCATCAGGTGGGATGGTAGTCAATCACTATCGTATAATAGTAAAAAGAAATCATATTTTTCCCGCATCCTCAAAGGGTAATGTGGGGTTTGACTTTCATTCCCGAAATGCCACCCCTTAAAACCTGCCGCCCGGGGCCATGCCTCTGCCGCGGCGGCCCCTTCCTTGCTACGCTAATGGCCGGTGGTAAATTAGCACGTAAAAATATAATTTCATTGCGGTCGAACTTGGGTAGCATGCGTACTTTGTATTTTTTTTAAAAAAGCTTTAAGATGGAGTACGATTTACAGGATAATGGCAAAAACGAAATTCTATCGTTACAGCCTCTCAAAACTTCACTGCTGAACAAAGATTGCCTCGTAGGGGGTGATGTTTGTTATAGTTGCACGCTTGGCAGGCATGTCGGTAACCATTTTTTTTTAGTTGTTATTATAAAGTCGTCATTTCCTTATATTTTCACTCTGCCGCCTCTTACAACAACTACGAGATGAGATGAGTTAGTTGATATGGTTAAACTGCTGGTACACGATCTAAATTAAATAAATTACAAAATGTAACAAAATCCCATCCATCTCTATAATCAAGATTTTTTTTTCGGTCTACATAGGGTATTTTAAGATTTCTCCGAAAAAGTGTAGGCTGTTTATTTCTTGAAAATAGTGCCTATATTTTGGCTATTGTAACACAGTCGACGTTGTGGTAATTTTTTCAGAACCTACTTCATTAGGAGGTTTCAACGCGTAAATGTGATGTTGACATTTAGAAAAAAGTTCACATATTCACCCTTAGGCCCTAATCCTGTTAACTGTATATTAACAAATTTAGCCTATTACACAAAGTACATGTAGCCTTATGAAAATAAAGTGTCCTAATTTATTAAATAATTAAAATAGTGCAGTCGAAGGCTGTCACGTAAATAATATAATGTTATCGTTTTCACTAAGTCTCTAAGGTATACCTAATTAGTATTTGTTTTACTAAAAGCGACACATAAGACACGCTATAATGCCTACAATTACGTAATAGGGCACACTCGTAAGAATTTCATTCCCTATTTCGGTCGTCGTGAAATTAAATTGTAGTAAATATTTTTAATGCAATCAATGGTGACGAAATGTGTCCTCAACAGAGTCCACCTAATAGTAAATAGACAATGTGGGGTCATTGACAACTTCTTTGTAAAAGTGAAGTGACAAAAGATCCAACACTCTACCAGACGGTGAGTGGCCATTGCAGCCAATATCTTTAACCGATAGCTGTAACCAACTTCAAACAAAGAAGACCGCAGATGATATGTCACTTTTCAGAATAAAGAAGGAACGCCTCACAGACAGTAATAGTACTCGATCTTTTTAACCTTCAAATCGGAAACCGGCAGGGTATCACTTTGGTGTGTATTTTGATTCAAAATCGACAACAGATATAGGTAGGTTCACTAGATGAGAGGACTTCTTGGGTAGCAACCACCCTCATACTTATTTCTGCTGAAGTTAATGCCGAAGTTCTGATCCGAAGGGTATAAAGAGCCAGTACAATAACAGGTCGTGAGACATGAGCTTTAGTAGCCACTTGTCATCATCAGGTGGACTTCCAGTCCATTGATTTACTTAACTTTTTTTAATAAATTTTAAATAATATTTTGTTAACGATACACAATCTCATCAATCGATTATAAATTAATTAATAAACATATCCAAATTACAAATTGATATGTTATTTATTTAAGAAATATGGAAACAAGGTTTTTGTTTTAAAGAATACTACCTTATTATATTATTAGGTCATGCTTAATTACAATCTAACCTGATGGAAAGTGTAGGCAGGCGAAGATAGTGAAACACACAAACTTAGAATAAGCCTAGCTACTATGAATAAGCTGAAATTTTCTGTGCCAGTTTACCACAGTAGGCTATCGCAAATTCAAACCTACGACTTTTAATGTTTTAACCATTTAAGATTGTAAAAGTTTCTGTCACACAATACTTTAGAATATTCATAAATAAAATTGGACTTAAAAGTATTATAAAGATAAACGAAGATACAAGTTCTCTCAAAGAGTTAGAAGCCTTTGTACACATGATGTCTTTGACGAGAACGCGAACGGTAAACTTCTAAACTCCTACCTAAGTTCTTAACTCTCGAAAAAAATCAACAAGGTTTTTACATTTCAATGTATCTACTTAATCTTAAAACATTAACAAGGCCTAACTTTATTTTATAATAAAATTTATTTTAAATAATTTTATTTTAAACAAAATTAATCTAAATTTAAAAAGAAAACATCAAATTATATAAATTGAATATTTATTAATTTAAATACGGAAATAAATTTCACTTTTTCGATAAAACTTAATTTAGCCAACGAATCATTTAAATATTAAATCAATAGTAATATTATAAGCATATTTTTTTAAATATATTAATAAAATATTTTCGTATAAGTGAATTCCAAGTTACTTTTAGTTTTCAACTTAATTTCATAAATAATGCCAGAGAAGCCAGAAACTCGGAAAGGATTTTTTTTGAAACTTTTATTAAAGTATAAATCCTAAGTAGTTTTATTTCACATAGGTTTATTTCAGATGCCCGAAATCGAAAAATAAGTAGAGAAAGGGTACCTTGAACTGGAGCAGGCAGCGGCGACGGAGGCACAACGTATAATGCCGTGCGGCGCTCGAGGTCTGCCCGTCCTCTACTAGCGGTAATACTGCAGTTGCAAAGAACCTGAGGGTATGGATCTAGTGAAGAGTAATAGGTCATGCTGAAGCGACTAGCGATTAGGTAACCGAACCGAAACAACTTTTAAATCATAAATAGGTAATATTTCGTCATATTCCGAAATATTGCGGTTAAAAGATAAATCTATTTTTTATTCTTATTTTATTGTTGTATTTTTTTACTAACATAGTTTATGTAAATTACTAACAAAAATGTGTATGGATATGTATATCTGAAATAAACGTTATTATTATTATTAAATAATTGAAATTAATTTCTATAGATTTTCAAGTAAACACGAAGAATATTAATTAATTTTATTTAGTAGTTTATGTTTAGATTATGTTTTCCCACACAATGTATATTGTTTTTGAAATAATTGACCACTGCCTCGTTGGCCTAGTGGTTGTAGTAGTGCGACTGTTGATCATGAGGTCTGGGTTCGAATCCTGGGTCGGGCCAAAAAATCAATTATTGAGTTTTTCTGTTAAGAAATTCTCAGTAGCTGTCCGAAGTCAGGAAGTTGGCGGTGTCTCACCCCCGTGCCTCGGAAAGCACGTAAAGCCGTTGGTCCTGCGCCTGATCTCTATCCGGTCGTGTCGGTTTACCATCCCATCGGATTATGAGAGTGGTGAGGGAATAGAGAGTGCCCCTGTGCTTGCGCATACACTTGAGCACTATAATCCTGTCCTGCGCCGATGGTTAGCCTCCATCGAGGCAGGCCACCGTGGCCGAAATTCGGTCTGGAGGACATTATTATTAATAATTAATGGTATCTTAAGGATATTTCAAGATAGGCTTGACAGTCCCCATTGCATTGGATCCTATTGCATGTGGGAGGAGGGACATTCAAGTTTCTAAAATGATTGCTCCCTTTCTATAGATATAATTTATTTTATTCTTATTTTGTTATTGTATTTTTTTACTAACATAGTTTATGTAAATTACTAACAAAAATGTGTATGGATATGTATATCTGAAATAAACATTATTATTATTATTATTATTAAATAATTGAAATTAATTTCTATACATTTTCGAGTAAACACGAAGAATATTAATTAATTCTATTTAGTAGTTTATGTTTAGATTATGTTTTCCCACACAATGTACATTGTTTTTGGAATAATTGACTAATTTCTAATGACTAAACGAATGTGTTATAATTTATAACTCAGTGAAACTAATGTCAAGCAAGAATAATATTTTTTGAAGTCACGTATATTTAACTTGTGCCATTTTTATCAATCAACTTATGCAATGAGCTATTTTGCTATAAGTAATAGTTACTTTTATGGTTTTGAGCCGTGATAGCTCAGGGGCTAAATGCTCGCTGTAAATTTCACTTTACGCGCGATCGATCCCCGCTGGCACCAATGAAATTGTTAAATGCAATTTTAAGTGTTGATTTAACATTAGCTCGATGGTAAAGGAAAACATCATGGGGAAACCTGCATATCAGCGAAGTAACAAAAAATAAATATATTTCGAAGACATGTGTAGTTTCCCTAACACGCTTTGGTACAGCGTAGCGGACATGTCATTGCCCTAAAAACCCTCTCAGAAATGAGAAGAGGTAGCCCAACAGTGGGAGGTACATATCCTTTAACTTTACTTCTATGCTAAAAAAACTTAGGTATTCCTTGGTGCTAGCACCCCCTTTCTGCCTGGGACTTAGTATTGTTAGGTAGCTTTTTTGCCGCCAAATGGCAGTTCTTGCATGCTGTAGCCCTGTTGAAGTGTATAGTCAGTATAATTAGAGCCATTCTAGCGCAATTGCGTAGTAATATACACAGTTGCGTGTGCTACAATGTCTGTAATTATTATTGAAAAACTACAAAGTTAATATTAAAAAACCAACCACATAAAAAGTGGTAATCATACATACAGGTCAAGTTATGAAGGGTGTAAAAAGAAACTTTTATAGCTCACTTTGAGTAATTTATAACTTAGTGCTTACGAGTTTATATTACTTCTTGCAACACATTCGCAAGTAGTTTTAAGTTTTACGATAAAAATTATATGAAACAGCTTTATGTGTAATAATATTTTTACGTTTGTTTCAGTTAGAAGTAAAACGTGGTGGAGCCATGCTGAAGCTATATTATGGTTGTAGCACGAATGGGTCGGCTCGACCGGAGAAGGGCCACAATCTCACAGAATATCAGCGTAAAATAGAAGCTCAATGCTGCTGTATTTTATATGGTGATTGTAGAGAACTGGAGACCCTTTTTACTGGAAACGGGGTATTTAATCTTAATGTTCAGGGATGTCATCGCATATGCATTTTGATTTTTAATAGGGGTTAAATGTAGATGTTTATACGACATAGCATTCACGTACCATCAAGCGGACTATGTGCTCGTGTGTCACCTTTATTTTATGAAAATTTTAGCTAAGAAAGGAAGACTAGTAACGCTAAGTTAGTTGGGCATATGCTGATTCTCTAATTGTTTCACTCCGTTGAACAAACCATATTTTTTTATTTAAGCCTTAGGTCAATATAAATGTGACTATTCACAATAATGAAAACAATTTTCTATTCACGTTGAAATTTGCTAAAGCGAAATGAAGGAAATTGTCAATGGTTTATGAAGTTATTATGAATTACTGCCTATAACTATATAAATATCCGTTTAAGAAATTTCTTGCAAATTAAAATTTTGATATTTTCCGCTTATTGATCGTAGTCAATATAAACTTAAATAGGGCATATCATACTGCAGGAACTGCTTTAATCGCCAGGCTTCGCCAATATTGAGTAATGTGAAACTAACATGTTTTGTCGTAATTGGCATGCAAAGTTTAAAGTTAAATACAATCGTGCCGGTTAAAATTACACTTTATAATTAATTTATCTATTACTTTAAAATTATGTACATGTATTCTTATTAATTTCAGATATTATGTAGAATTAGATGAATATAGAGTTACTTAAAAACATATAAAACCGGAATTTTTACACAAAAAATTTTTAATGAATTATAATTTGAATTATATATAATTAATGTTAAATATTATATTAACTTAGACAAGATATAATTATTTTGGTAATTAATATATAGACTTAAAATAATTCAAATTTTCGTTTGTATTTTTTTGAAATGGCTAAACCGATTGTGATAAAACTATAGAATTTATTTTATCTGAAAAACTTGAATTTTTTTTTGAAAACACGATAAATTAAAATCCTTAGTCGGGTCATAAGTTCTGTCAAAACATTATTATTTAAATAATTTGAATACTGACTAGATGAACTTCACCAATTTAAAAAATATAACGTTTGCGCTTGCCAGAAATTAAAAAAAAAAAACATTAGTTTTGAGTCAGAGTAGCGGTTATCGCGTTGCACCACTGTGGTTACGCGCCAAAAGAGATTTTCAATAAACTACAAAAATTAAAAATAACCCTACGATTTGTTTATCGCACTATCAAACGTTTCACTGAAGATTCAAGCTTTGAAGATCGTAACAGGACCGGCCGACCTCGTACAGTTAGGACACCTGCGATCATCAAAGTAGTGAAAGCGCGAATCCAACGAAATCCTGTTCGTTGACAAAAATTCTTAGCTCTTCAGATGGGCCTAAGCAGAACCACGGTCAAAAAAGTAATCAATGAAGACCTAGGACTCCGTCCTTTGTAACGGCCGTACGCGGGAAAAAAATACCGCGAAATGTTGTTTCGGATGAAAAAAATTTTAACATCGAAGAAAGTAATAATAAACAAAATCATAAGGTGTATGCGCACAGTAGTGAAGAAGCCAGCACGCTTATTTTGAAGGTTCAACGAGCACATTATCCTTCGTCACTCATGGTTTGTCTTGGAGTCTCATATTCAGGCTTAACTAAAGAATTTTTCTGTAAAAAGGTGTAAAATCAGTGCCGAGGTGTACCAAAATACCGTCTTAACAAACATAGTGGAACCTATTTCGCAAAAAATGCTCAAGAACAGACATTGAATATTCCAACAGGACTCTGCACCAGCTCATTGGGCACGAAGCATGCAAAACTGGTTGACCGCCCATGGACTTCAGTTTATTAGACGTGAAGACTGGCCCTTTTCTAGTCCAGATTTATGCCCACTGGATTATAAAATATGGCAATATTTGGAGGAGAAATTCTGCGCTAAACCTCATCAGAATTTGGAATCTCTCCGAGCATCTTTAGCTAAAGCAGCTGCAGAAATAGATATGAGTGTGGTGCATGCTGCGATTGATGATTAACCGCGTCGATTAAGGGCATGTATTCAAAATAGGGTAGGGCATTTTGAATAATGAAAATAAAATTGTATATTAAATTAAAATACCTTTCATTAAATATATAATTTCTTTGTAGTTATCCAAAAGTGAATCATTAATTTTATAAAAAGTTTTTGACAGAACTTATAACCTGAGCAAGTAATATGTGGTCTCTGATCGTTTTAAATATCCATAACGCCACACTAATAGATCACGGTACATAATCGTGCCTCGGAAAGCACGAAGAGCCGTTGGTCCAGCACCTGATCTCTCTCTAGTTGTGTCATATTACCACATGAGTAAAGAAACCGACTCTGTGGTATTACCTTCCTACCAGACTATGAGTATGAAGGAATGGAGAGTGCAACTGTGATATCGCATACAATCGGGCGTTATAATTCTTTCTTACACAAATGGCTAGTTTACGTTGAGACTGGACACAGTGACCGAAATTTGGTCTTTGGGACATTATTATTATTATAACTCTATTTTATTCTCAAACAATTTAATGTAATAAAACAACGCTCTGTATTTACTTAACTTTAAAGGTTTTATTTAATAGAATACGGGAAGCACACGAGCATACCTCATGATAATTAGACGACCCATAGATAACTTGTACATGTTCCAATACCGACGTCAGTACTCAGTTCACTAAAATTGATAATATAATAAAACTACAAGTATGTGTAAACCGTAGGAATTATTAAAAATAAAAATAAATATTTTTTTAAAAG